ACGTTAATTCATGAAAACTAGGCTTATTAGGCAAATCGGGCCATGCATAGTAGGCTGAGAAGTGAGTTCTGGCTACTAGGTACGACATATATATATATATATATATATATATATATATATATATATATATATATATATATATATATATATATATATATATATATATGTCGTACCTAGTAGCCAGAACGCACTTCTCTGCCTACTATGCAAGGCCCGATTTGCCTAATAAGCCAAGTTTTCATGAATTAATTGTTTTTTCGACTACCTAACCTACCTAACCTAACCTAACCTAACTTTTTCGGCTACCTAACCTAACCTAACCTATAAAGATAGGTTAGGTTAGGTTAGGTAGGGTTGGTTAGGTTCGGTCATATATCTACGTTAATTTTAACTCCAATAAAAAAAATTGACCTCAAACATAATGAAATGGGTAGCTTTATCATTTCATAAGAAAAAAATTAGAAAAAATATATTAATTCAGGAAAACTTGGCTTATAAGGCAAATCGGGCCTTGAATAGTAGGCCAAAAAGTGAGTTCTGGCTACTAGGTATATATATATATATATATATATATATATATATATATATATATATTTATCTCAATTCATTGCATAGACTCTGCAACGCTGGTCTCAGTGTCTTTCATCCACAGATCGTGAGCATCTTCTGTTGCTAAAGGATGCTTAAGCCAGCAGCCTCAGTAGAAAATTGTGTAGTTAATTCTAAATTATTATCGGGGGTAATCGTGCGCGGGCCCTAAGCCTCTGACTGGCCCACTAAGTGTTCTTAAGTGGTGGATGAGTTTGACACTTAATCTGCAGTAGGACTGTCCAATGTGTTTAATAACTGCGTTGTTAAATCTCGGTGGAGATTTAGTTCCACAAGCCATATAGACCTGACATTACTTCATGTATATTTGTCTAGAAACTTAACCAAAACACTTGTACATAAAAGTACAGTTGTGTTTATATATTTCTGAACACAGAAACTTTATAAGTATTGAACTTTCAGTTCAATATTGGTCAAGCATTTGACAGAGATAAGGTACCTGATGATAATATTTTGTATTTCTCGTCTCTCACTGTGACACTCTACCGCCATTCTGTTAGGTATTCTCTCACCTATTTCAGTGCAGGTCATCCCCCCCTCCCCCCGTACCTTTCTGAAGAGTGGGTAGTCTACTACTAGGTAGTCTCCTACCCCCCCCCCCTCTCTGAAGAGACAGACCATCCTCCACCTCCCGAAAAAGAAAGCAGAGTCGGCGTTGTATCTCGCGTGACAGCAATTATTAATGGCGATAGTGGAAAAAGAGTAGGAGCAGGAGAAGAGGATACAGGAAGAGGGAGAGTAGCAAGAGTAGGAGGACGAGGCGAGGACACGCGTCCACACCCTCTCACACACACACACACACACACACACACACACACACACACACACACACACACACACACACACACACACACACACACACAACAAACACCTTGTAATATCCAACTCATCGATCGCCATTTGTTTCTTTCATTTCATACCAGCCGTTTCATCTTTCCCATCCTCTTGCTTTTTCTTCTATTTCCTCCTTCCAATCCTCCTCCTCCTGTTCCTTCTAAACCTCCTTTCACTGTTCTGCCTTCCTCGTGGATATTAAAATTTCCAGGCTGACCATCCCGGTCTGCGCCTTACAAAGCAAATAACAATTTTCAGTAACTTTACGGGCTTGCCAGTTACTGTAGCGAGTATACACACTTTCAGAATAAAACTCTTCCGAAAGTTTATGCCCCGAGTGTGTTCAGAGTTGGTTCAGTTATACCCTGTGGTGGTGTGAGCTGCGGCGTTCAGTTCCCTGTGGTGGTGTGAGCTGCGTCGTTCAGTTATACCCTGTGGTGGTGTGAGCTGCGTCGTTCAGTTATACCCTGTGGTGGTGTGAGCTGCGTCGTTCAGTTATACCCTGTGGTGGTGTGAGCTGCGTCGTTCAGTTATACCCTGTGGTGGTGTGAGCTGCGTCGTTCAGTTCCCTGTGGTGTAAACTGCGTCGTTCAGTTCCCTGTGGTGGTGTAAACTGCGTCGTTCAGTCCCTGTGGTGGTGTAAACTGCGTCGTTTAGTACCTGTGGTGTAAACTGCGTCGTTCAGTTCCCTGTGGTGGTGTAAGCCGCGTCGTTCAGTCCCTGTGGTGGTGTAAACTGCGTCGTTCAGTCCCTGTGGTGGTGTAAACTGCGTCGTTCAGTACCTGTAGTGGTGTAAACTGCGTCGTTCAGTCCCTGTGGTGGTGTAAACTGCGTCGTTCAGTACCTGTGATGGTGTAAACTACGTCATGGCGTGGTATTCTATCTTGCGAGACAGACTTGATATTAACAGTCCACCGGAGACGAGTGGTATACAAGGCTTGTTCACCTTTACCTAATGGCTGGATCACGTATATTTCTTGACCTATTCTCAGCCGTAGATCATGACCCTTCACTCCCCCTCCCTTTTCAGGCCTTTCCACATACTGTCCTTCTAAGTCCTTCCCCTCTAGACATCCTCTAGACCGTGTTCTCCCCTCTAGACTCCCTCTAGAGCGTGTCCTACCCTCTAGACCGTGTCCTCCCCTCTAGACTCCCTCTAGAGCGTGTCCTACCCTCTAGACCGTGTCCTCCCCTCTAGGCCCCCTCTAGACCCCCTCTAGACCGTTTCCTCCCCTCTAGACCCCCTCTAGACCGTGTCCTCCCCTCTAGACCCCCCTCTAGACGGTGTCCTACCCCTTTCCGAGGTTCCTGGACCAGCTTCTCGGTGGTCGTCGACATATTAACTCCTGACAAATAGTTCTTTGGACTTCACGCCGCGCGTCTGATTAAGCCGGTCCTTAAACACAGTCACCTCACTCGGTAAACAGCGAGGGGACACTTGGAGAAGTGAGGGGGACGGTTTAATGTGATAAAGGGACGGGTGAGGGAAGGTGGATAGTAGTAGAGAAGAAAGGGTAAGTTTCAGCCCCGCTCCTGTGCCAGGTAAGTCCACAACGGACTCACCATAGCCCGTGCTATTTGCCCAGCTCCTGTGCCAGGTAAGTCCACTACGGGCTCACCATAGCCCGTGCTATTTGCCCAGCTCCTGTGCCAGGTAAGTCCACTACGGGCTCACCATAGCCCGTGCTACTTGGAACTTTTTGTTCCGAGTAGCTGAATCTAAAACAACGGAGGTGGATAGTAGTAGAGAAGAAAGGAGAGACTAGCATCTTTTCAAGCATTTCAGGATTTTTATTTTTTAAAGGTTAAGAGATTAAGCCCTTTGATCCTGGTGAAAGAGCTTTATCTCGTAATCCTTGAAAGTAGAGAGAGGGGACATGATAACAAAATACGAGATACTTAAAGGAATTGACACGTTGGATACAATGTGTTTAATTGGTCTGAAACCAGCACTTATGAGGACACACAAGAGGGAACTGAACAGCCGTAGTTGTTGTTGTTGTTATAGATTCAGCTACTCGGAACAAGTTCCAAGTAGCACGGGCTATGGTGAGCCCGTAACTTACCTGGCACAGGAACGGTGCTGTGTGACGTACAGCCAAATTGCTGTAAGGAAGACCTTCTGCTCAAGCATGAGTTGATCACTTACAGGAGCCATATTCCGTAACGCCTTCCTTTCCTGTTTAAATTCATGACTCTTTTTGTGGGAGCTCCGGAGCATAGCAGTGAAGCACTGAGCCTTTGTGACAGATGAAGATAATGGCTGTCGACGCTGAGCTCCTGTGACGTATCGGGGCGAGGACTGTGCAGCGCTGAGGCCTCGGCACAGATCCAGACGATAACTGTGCAGAAGTGAGCACTTGGCACAGCAAGATTACTGTGCACTGGTGTCCACCAATTTTTGTTTCACAGTATTATATAAATTACGATAGAGACTGTGTCTACTCCAGACATACCGTCTACTAAAGGCCGTCTTCTAAAGAACAAATCCACAGGGAGCCGTAACGAGGATTCGAACCTACGTCCGAGAGCATCCATCTACTCAAATTTAAGGTCTACTAAAACTGCAGCAATTTCGTCATATCAGATGTATGTGTGTGTGTGTGTGTGTGTGTGTGTGTGTGTGTGTGTGTGTGTGTGTGTGTGTGTGTGTGTGTGTGTGTTATCTAAGAGTTTGCAGGGCCAAACTTCAGCTCTTCGGCTCTGCCTTCCCAGTTATCAGTCGTCATACCAGTTTTTAAATGTGTGTGTGGGGGGGGGGGTGGAGGGGAAGAGAGGTGAAGGTTTGTCTGAAGTAATTCCCACTAGCAGAAGAATGGGGCAAATTTGAAGGCCTAGGGGAGAAATAGGACAAAAGGTCATGTCCTGTTAACAGGGACAATCAACAGGGAACAGGAGGGGGGGGGGGGGGTCATTGTTCACACAGCCCAAGGCTCGGATCCAACGGGTGAGGGTAATCGGGCTAAGTCTCATTGTACCCACCGTTCCAACCTGAATACAGACAGTTACAAATGAATTGTTTAAACCGCTTTGTTTAAACCTGTTAATGGATGGTCATTGGCTTGGGTTGCCATATAATGTATAATTATATGTCAATTACAAGTCAGTGGAGATGAAATAATTGGTCCTCAGTCAATTGAGTTTTGTCTTCAAAATATTATAGAATTTAGTACCAAAAAAATCGACGAAAAAAACAAATTGGCTAAGTTACTGTTTTCACTCTGGTTTTCAAAACAATGTTAAACCATATTACACACAGAAATCACAATAGTTTGATGCATCAAATGAACAAGTCATAGCTCAGTCGATTAAGGCTCTGGGACGTAGGTTCGAACTCTCGTCACGGCCCTTGTGGATTTGTTCTAATGTTAAACCTCTTCAAGACGGCAGAAGCAAGTCTAATATGGTTTGCAGGCGATGAGTCACAATAACGTGGCTAAAGTATGTTGACCAGACCACACACTAGAAGGTGAAGGGACGACGACGACTTTTCGGTCCGTCCTGGACCATTCTCAAGTCGATTGATATTCTAATATGGTGTCTTTCTTCTCCTGCAGACATCACAAAAAGTACGTGTGGGTGGCGTTGTTGGGGCTGCTGGCTGTCCACGCCGTCAAGACTCACGTTCGCAACGCGGATTGGCGAGATGAGTACACAATCTTCACCGCCGGACTCAAGGTAAGACTCACTATTGGTATCAGCAAGACGAGGAGTCACAATAACGTGGCTGAAATGTGTTGACCAAACCACACACTAGAAAGTGAAGGGATGACGACGTTTCGGTCCGTCCTGGACCATTCTCAAGTCGATTGTTCGTCTTGAGAATCGTGGCCTAGTCGAACAGAACATGTTCTTAATCCGGATAGACCTGCGTTCGAGCCTGTCGAAACGGTTGCAAGTACAGGGCACAGATTTCTGTGCTGGACCATTCTCAAGTCGACAAGCGACATGAGAATGGTCCTGTACGGACCGAAATGTCGTCTTCCCTTCACTTTCTAGTGTGTGGTCTGGTCAACGTATCTGCAAGATTTCTGGGGGAGTTGTTCCTCAGAATGGTCGTGTTCGGGGGTCCCCAGGCAGGAGAAGTAACAATATTTGAAGGTGTAGATTAAGGGGAGCAATATGGCGGTGATTGTGGTGTTGAGGACGAATAGTGTAGCTATATGGTGACAGTGATGAGGGTGGTGATAGACTAGTCACCATCACATCGTCTTGCGCCGTTAAATAATATTTCAACGACCTATCTTCCACTCCCAGCGACATATGTCACACAGCCGATATTGCCTCCGCAGCATTTTCAATATCGCAGCCCTTTGTACTATAACTTTATATGCGATAAACCTGAATCATGCAATATAAACCGACTTACAATATAGATGACCGTAAAACATTTCGTCAGGATTTAGTTATTAATTGTACAAAGTCAAACAAGAAAAAGAAACTATTCAAACGAGGTCTTTAATCAAGAATACAAGAAACAAACACTTTATGAAAAACTTACTACAATACAATGATACAAGCGGAGGGGGGGGGGGGGAATACTTATATTCTTTTTTGTCAAGTAATTTCTCGGTGAACTTCTCAGTATTACAATAAACATTACTCTTATCGAATTCTATACACGGTACAGTATTATCTCGGTATTACTATCCATGTATACGGTATTACTCTGTTGCTTAGTCTATACCACACGACTAAGAGGAAAGTGTCGTGGTTCGTTGGAGTAAAAATCGTTTGGTTACACTTATTTAAGACATCACGCGTGACGTCTGTGTAAAATTAAAGTCTGTATTCTGGAAGCAAGATTCCTTTGACCTGTGAAGCTGAATACTTGTATCATGTAGCCTTTTATTATTCAGCTTTGATGTCTGAATAGACTTGGCTGCTAAAGAAAGGCTTGATGCGGTATGCGTCTCATTCCAGATATCAACATAATTATCGCTCATATTGCCTACATTCCTGAATATCCCTCCACAAATATGGCGACCAAACACTGAAGCACAAGGCACTGGAAATGCTGGAATATCTTTCTTCTTCCATTCCCTCCCCCCCCCCCCCCCAACCCCCCCCCCTCTCTCTCTGTTTTCTCTCTCTCTCTCTCTTGTTTCTCTCTCTCTCTGTGTTTCTCCCCCCCTTCCTCCTCCCTCTCCCCCTCTCCACCCACCCTCAACACCCCCTTCCCTACTCATCCTCAATTCCAAGGAAGAGCACTTAATTTAATCAACTTTAGTCATACAGATCACAATAAAAAAGTCAAAATCATTAGTCTTCCCCCAAGTCCCATTAACGTAAGAAAAATGATCTTCGTTTTGTGAGTCTTGGAACAAAAGCCGCAGAGCGGGTCGAAAGAGAGAGAGATAAGGAAAAACAAAAAGCACTAAAAGGTTTTAAATTATGAGAAGCAAAGAAATCGCCGAACTCAAAAGAACTCCAGAGACTTTTATTTCACGCGAGGAGAGCGTGGTATAGAGAGGTTCCAGGCTTGACACCTGGAAAAAACTCCCAATTGATTGGCTCTCTTGCATCATTGGTGATGTATCCTCCTCCTCCCTATTCACCTGTCCCCCCCTCCCCCCCCCCCCTGTGTCCGCGCGGTTCGTGTCCGCGTTCGTTCTTGGGGTTCGTTCTTGCGGTTCGTTCTTGCGGTTCGTTCTTGGGGTTCGTTCTTGGGGTTCGTTCTTGGGGTTCGTTCTTGCGGTTCGTTCTTGGGGTTCGTTCTTGGGGTTCGTTCTTGGGGTTCGTTCTTGCGGTTCGTTCTTGGGGTTCGTTCTTGGGGTTCGTTCTTGGGGTTCGTTCTTGGGGTTCGTTCTTGGGGTTCGTTCTTGGGGTTCGTTCTGCGGCTCGTTCTTGCGGTTCGTTCTTGGGGTTCGTTCTTGGGGTTCGGGGTTCGTTCTTGCGGTTCGTTCTTGCGGTTCGTTCTTGGGGTTCGTTCTTGGGGTTCGTTCTTGGGGTTCGTTCTTGGGGTTCGTTCTTGGGGTTCGTTCTTGGGGTTCGTTCTCGCGGCTCGTTCTCGCGGTTCGTTCTTGCGGTTCGTTCTTGCGGTTCGTTCTTGCGGTTTGTTCCTGGGGTTCGTTCTTGCGGTTCGTTCTTGGGGTTCGTTCTTGGGGTTCGTTCTCGCGGCTCGTTCTCGCGGCTCGTTCTCGCGGCTCGTTCTCGCGGCTCGTTCTTGTTCTGGGGTTCGTTCTTTGGGTTCGTTCTTGGGGTTCGTTCTTGGGGTTCGTTCTTGGGGTTCGTTCTTGGGGTTCGTTCTTGGGGTTCGTTCTTGGGGTTCGTTCTTGGGGTTCGTTCTTGGGGTTCGTTCTCGGGGCTCGTTCTTGGGGTTCGTTCTTGCGGTTCGTTCTTGGGGTTCGTTCTTGGGGTTCGTTCTTGGGGTTCGTTCTCGCGGCTCGTTCTCGCGGCTCGTTCTCGCGGCTCGTTCTCGCGGCTCGTTCTCGCGGCTCGTTCTCGCGGCTCGTTCTCGCGGCTCGTTCTTGCGGCTCGTTCTTGCGGTTTGTTCCTGGGGTTCGTTCTTGGGGTTCGTTCTTGCGGTTCGTCCTGTGTTCTACAGCGTCGCCCAGCCCTACTGCTGCCTGGTTCTACTAACAAGTATCACAACCAGAAGTTCTACTGAACTTCCTTTATTACTTTTTGCTTAATGTGAACACAAATATAATAATTAATTTATCCATCAATATTGTATGTTACTGATGGTCAAAAATCTTAGTAGTAACTTTTGTCGAACACCATTCTTAATGGTTGTAAAAGATTTGCATGTAATTTTATTTTTAAATATTCAACTTATCGAACTTGATTCTTACAATTTTGCAGTAAATTTTTTATAAGCAACTGTAGAATCTTTTGAGTGTTTATCAGAATCTTGGAAGTGTGTGTGTTCCTTCCTACTGGAGCCATACACTAACAACTTGTGATTAAGACTTTCGTTCATATGTTCATCTCCCTATGCAGGTGAACCAGAGGAACGCCAAGCTCTTCAACAACGTGGGCCACGCACTCGAGTCCCAAGGGCGCTTCGCCGAGGCCCTCAAGTACTTCCAAGCCGCCGTCACCGTACAGGAGGACGACATTGGGGCCCACATCAACGTGGGCAGAACCTACAACAATCTTAAACTTTTCTCAGATGCCGAACAGGCATACCTCAAGGTGAGAGGGGTTTAGATCGTTAGTGAAGTACAGGGTTAGTCTTGTCTGTGGCTGAGCCAGTACTGGGGTAGCCTAGTCTGTGGCTGAGCCAGTACTGGGGGTAGCCTAGTCTGTGGCCGAGCCTGTACTGGGGGTAGTCTGGTCTGTGGCTGAGCCTGTACTGGGGGTAGTCTTGTCTGTGGCTGAGCCAGTACTGGGGTAGCCTAGTCTGTGGCTGAGCCAGTACTGGGGGTAGCCTAGTCTGTGGCCGAGCCTGTGCTGGGGGTAGTCTGGTCTGTGGCCGAGCCTGTACTGGGGTAGCCTAGTCTGTGGCCGAGCCTGTGCTGGGGGTAGTCTCGTCTGTGGCCGAGCCTGTACTGGGGTAGCCTGGTCTGTGGCCGAGCTTGTACTGGGGGTAGCCTGGTCTGTGGCCGAGCCTGTACTGGGAGGTAGCCTGGTCTGTGGCCGAGCCTGTACTGGGGGTAGCCTGGTCTGTGGCCGAGCCTGTACTGGGGGGAGTCTGGTCTGTGGCCGAGCCTGTACTGGGGGTAGCCTGGTCTGTGGCCGAGCCTGTACCCCAGTAGCCTGGTCTGTGGCCGAGCCTGTACCCCAGTAGCCTGGTCTGTGGCCGAGCCTGTACCCCAGTAGCCTGGTCTGTGGCAGAGCCCGTACCCCCAGTAGCCTGGTCTGTGGTCGAGTCAGTACCCCAGTAGCCTGGTCTGTGGTCGAGTCAGTACCCCAGTAGCCTGGTCTGTGGCCGAGCCAGTACCCCAGTAGCCTGGTCTGTGCCCGAGTCAGTACCCCAGTAGCCTGGTCTGTGCCTGAGCCTGTACCCCAGTAGCGTTGTCTGTGCCCGAGCCAGTACTGGGGTAGCCTGGTCTGTGCCCTAGCCAGTACCCCCAGTAGCCTGGTCTGTGCCCGAGCCAGTACTGGGGTAGCCTGGTCTGTGCCCGAGCCAGTACTGGGGTAGCCTGGTCTGTGCCCGAGCCAGTACTGGGGTAGCCTGGTCTGTGCCCGAGCCAGTACTGGGGTAGCCTGGTCTGTGCCCGAGCCAGTACTGGGGTAGCCTGGTCTGTGCCCGAGCCAGTACTGGGGTAGCCTGGTCTGTGCCCGAGCCAGTACTGGGGTAGCCTGGTCTGTGCCCGAGCCAGTACTGGGGTAGCCTGGTCTGTGCCCGAGCCAGTACTGGGGTAGCCTGGTCTGTGCCCGAGCCAGTACTGGGGTAGCCTGGTCTGTGCCCGAGCCAGTACTGGGGTAGCCTGGTCTGTGCCCGAGCCAGTACTGGGGTAGCCTGGTCTGTGCCCGAGCCAGTACTGGGGTAGTCTGGTCTGTGCCCGAGCCAGTACTGGGGTAGCCTGGTCTGTGCCCGAGCCAGTACTGGGGTAGCCTGGTCTGTGCCCGAGCCAGTACTGGGGTAGCCTGGTCTGTGCCCGAGCCAGTACTGGGGTAGCCTGGTCTGTGCCCGAGCCAGTACTGGGGTAGCCTGGTCTGTGCCCGAGCCAGTACTGGGGTAGCCTGGTCTGTGCCCGAGCCAGTACTGGGGTAGCCTGGTCTGTGCCCGAGCCAGTACTGGGGTAGCCTGGTCTGTGCCCGAGCCAGTACTGGGGTAGCCTGGTCTGTGCCCGAGCCAGTACTGGGGTAGCCTGGTCTGTGCCCGAGCCAGTACTGGGGTAGCCTGGTCTGTGCCCGAGCCAGTACTGGGGTAGCCTGGTCTGTGCCCGAGCCAGTACTGGGGTAGCCTGGTCTGTGCCCGAGCCAGTACTGGGGTAGCCTGGTCTGTGCCCGAGCCAGTACTGGGGTAGCCTGGTCTGTGCCCGAGCCAGTACCCCAGTAGCCTGGTCTGTGCCCGAGCCAGTACCCCAGTAGCCTGGTCTGTGCCCGAGCCAGTACCCCAGTAGCCTGGTCTGTGCCCGAGCCAGTACTGGGGTAGCCTGGTCTGTGCCCGAGCCAGTACTGGGGTAGCCTGGTCTGTGCCCGAGCCAGTACTGGGGTAGCCTGGTCTGTGCCCGAGCCAGTACTGGGGTAGCCTGGTCTGTGCCCGAGCCAGTACCCCAGTAGCCTGGTCTGTGCCCGAGCCAGTACCCCAGTAGCCTGGTCTGTGCCCGAGCCAGTACCCCAGTAGCCTGGTCTGTGCCCGAGCCAGTACCCCAGTAGCCTGGTCTGTGCCCGAGCCAGTACCCCAGTAGCCTGGTCTGTGCCCGAGCCAGTACCCCAGTAGCCTGGTCTGTGCCCGAGCCAGTACCCCAGTAGCCTGGTCTGTGCCCGAGCCAGTACCCCAGTAGCCTGGTCTGTGCCCGAGCCAGTACCCCAGTAGCCTGGTCTGTGCCCGAGCCAGTACCCCAGTAGCCTGGTCTGTGCCCGAGCCAGTACTGGGGTAGCCTGGTCTGTGCCCGAGCCAGTACCCCAGTAGCAAATAACTGCTCATCTTGTTGGCTAAACAATTAATATGTGGCGCCTCTTGCAAGTTAATCTCATCCTGAGTGCATAAATTGAATAGTGAATTATTCAATAATTTAGATATACGACCAGGCGCTTGAGTCGGAGGCTACTGGTGTCTCATTTTCTGTCGGGATCTCTCCACTCTGTACTATTGTCATGATGCTATTTATCGGTAAATTTACTTGAGTTTAGGTTCAAAAACCCAAGAATTGGGTCTAGATGTATTTCAGGTCTCAGGGCTGCTTTTGGAGATGAAAATTCTAATGGACTCCTCTGTTGAAAATATTATATGTTGGTTAGCTCGTCAGTTTTATCATTAACTACAAAATCATCCATTAGGGTCTAGTTGGCAATAATGTATGATAACTGGTTGATGTGTACAAATCCACAAGGGCCGTGACGAGGATTCGAACCTACGTCCGAGAGCATCCCAGACGCAGCCTTAATGGTTGATATGTAATTTTATGTTTGATGTAAAATGCCAAATGGCATTTTTTGTACATTGCATTACTTTTAATTTCATTTTGACTGAGAATTTCCCCGTTATTATGGCAAGACTTACGGTCGTTACACACAGAGATCACACTAACGTGATGCATCAAATGAACAAATCCACAAGGGCCGTGACGAGGATTCGAACCTGCGTCCGGGAGCATCCCAGACACTGCCTTAATCGACTGAGCTACGACATGGTTAAAGAGAGTTGAAACCGAACTTCTACTGAATTTACTGGATCCTGCAGCCTCTCCGAGGCACAAACCAGGATTTTACACAACTCCCCCCCTACACCCGAGCTATGTCGTAGCTCAGTCGATTAAGGCAGTGTCTGGGATGCTCCCGGACGCAGGTTCGAATCCTCGACACGGCCCTTGTGGATTTGTTCACTTACGGTCGAACATGAGAGAGTAAGCTACTGTTGCGACGGCTGGACCTACAAGGTCAAGACCTTAGACCTTCCTCTCTCTCAAAGAGGAAGGCCAAGACCTTGGACCTTCCTCTCTCTCAAAGAGGAAGGCCAAGACCTTGGACCTTCCTCTCTCTCAAAGAGGATTGAAATAGCTATTGGGCTCTTTCTACCCTCCTGCTGGACCTACAGGTGTGTAGTAAGCGTTGTGTCGGTTGCAGGCCAAGTCGCTGCTGCCGAAGGCCAAGCCGGGAGAGAGCTACCAGGCCAGGATAGCGCCCAATCACCTCAACGTCTTCCTTAACCTCGCGAACCTCATAGCCAGGAACGAGACCCGCCTGGAGGAGGCGGACGCCCTCTACCGGCAGGCTATAAGCATGAGGGCCGATTACACCCAGGCCTACATCAACCGGGGCGACATACTCATCAAAATGAATAGGTGAGTACACACCTACTTGGTGAATACATTTACCTGCCTGGTTTTGTAAACTGTGTAAATAAAACTATGCATTTTTTTATATAAACATGCGCAAATATATAACATTTTTGGGGAATTTGAAGGAGTGACGAGGGTGTGTTTGTTCGTAAGTCAAATGAAACATTCGGCGAGATCTTAATATATAACTTGGGTTCTTCCGTCAACTTAAGGAAGTAGAGAGGTGTGGTGCTTTACTCTGAACAATGTCAAACACTTTAAGTCACTTTTGTAAGTCTTGGGAGAGTCTATAACTCATGGGGCTCCATGGATTGTTTCAAGCGTAGGTTGGACATGTGTATGAGTGAGTTTGGATGGATATAAGTAGGAAGTGCCTCGTTTGGGGCAATATAACCACCACCACCCTGCACCGCCCACCACCAATACTCCGCCTTATCAACCACCATCGCTACCACTATCCCAGGAACACCAATTTGTCACAACTGCCTCGCCACAACACTGCAATGACCCACTGTACACCCACTATCTACCCTCACCCCTCTTCTCCCTCCCCGTCTCCCCCTCCCCGTCTCCCCCTCCCCGTCTTCCCCTCCCCTTTGGCCCCCACCCCCCTCTCCCTCCCCCCTCTCCCCCCTACCCCTCATTCACCCCCACCCCTTTCCCCCATCCACCACAACTCAACCCACTAGTTAATCACTCTGATAAACACTACCTAACATATCTCTCCCTCTCCTTCCTCTGCCCAGTACCTTTCCCCATACCACTATTCCCATTCCCCCTAAAAGATAGCATCTTCAACCCCCCTTTTCCTCCCCCCCCCCCTCCCCTGTTACCACCAGTCCTCTCAACCCCTCCCCCCTTCCCCAGACCCCCCAGCTGATGCCCCCACACCATCATTAGCTCCTCGACACACGGCGCCGGAGTGTGTAAATATTGGAGCACGTTGTGAATCCCTACTTCGGGTGTTGAGTGGCTCTGCGTGCAGGGGTGCCAAGTAGCAGAGGTGACAGGAGAAGTGCCAGGGAGGAGAGTTAGCAGTGAGAAAAGACATTAGAGGTGGTGCGAAAGAGATGCCAACGAGAAGTGCCGGCAAGAAGAAGGGGAGATGATTGGGCGAAGTGCTGTGAGGAGAGGTGACAAGAGATAAGTGTCAGGGTGTGAAAATGGCGAGACTGAAAAGTGTTTTAGACCGTAAAGTGAATAATCCTATTTCTCGATCATTATCACCACTCTGCACTTTATTTCACTGACTTTGGAAACGATTGAACGTTTATCGTAGTTCGTAATCGATATCTTCTTGAGGTTATCTTGAGATGATTTCAGGGCTTAGCGTCCCCGGGGGACGTAAACATAAGAAATATTGCCATTACAAAAGTAGAAGTTGCAAGAGAAAATTCGACACTTTCCTTAAAGAAGTATTAGACTAACTGATTTATAGTTACATTTGGGTCCTGCGTGTTACTTTTAAACAGCCTGTTGGACCAAGTTGTCTTGGTCCAACCTGTGGAGAGCCTGGCCCCAAATCGGAATTAGGGAGTAGAACAAATCCACAAGGGCCGTGACCAGGATTCGAACCTACGTCCGAGAGCATCCCAGACGCTGTCTTAATCGACTGAGCTACGACATGGTAAAAGAATTGCAACCAGAAATTCTACTGAATTTACTTGGATCCTGCAGCCTCTCCGAGACAGTTAGGGAGTAGAACCTACTCCCAGACCCAACTCTAGCTATACTTCAGGTAATAGCTTGGATCTTCAGGTATATTACAAGGTCTCCATTGCAGACGAGGAGTCGCAATAACGTGGCTAAAATATAATGACCAAACTACACACTAGAAAGTGAAGGGACGGCGACGTTTCGGTCCATCCTGGACCATTCTCGAGTCGAAACGTCGTCGTCCCTTCACTTTCTAGTGTGTGGTTTGGTCAACAACAGGAGCACCATTGTTGATCCCTGATTAAGTACGCGGCATGAGTAAATTGAATATTGATCAGTTCCTGTATCTATTGTTGATTCCGGGGATATGTGGCTCTTCGACCCGGTCTCTGATCAGGTCTGGTTGATGGCTTAGTCAACCAGTGTATTCTCTCGCAGTGTGACGTATGAGTCACAGCCTGGTTGATCAGGGATTCTTAGGTGTTTACAAAAGTTCTCTTGATCACCTTAAGAGGTCTGCTAATTATACTACTAAATCACCAGGAATATTCCAACAAATGTGTTCTGGTGATTTAAATATTACAATTACCACTCACAATTATCTAATTACAAGTGGCTTTACCACTGATTTTGTGTACTGTAGAAATAACATATACAGTACTACGACAAGTATTTAATATTATAACGTCTTTGTCAAAATGACTACTCCGATTAGATAATTTTATTTTCGTTGCTTTAAATTAAAACTTTTATATTATAACACACAGAAACCACAATAGCGTGATGCATCAAATGAACAAATCCACAAGGGATTAAGGCAGCGTCTGGGATCCTCTCGGACGTAGGTTCGATCCCTCGTCACGGCCCCTTGTGGATTTGTTCATTTTACTTTATATTTACGTGAACTAAGAAACCCCCTATGACTTGAAAGCTGAAGCGACTTTCAGTAACGGGCGTTTGTATAGTTCGCACAAATGGAACCAGGCAATCTGTTGAGTATAGTCAACACACAAGAACATCCCAGAAGCCTACAAGTGCAGTACGAGGTAATTATGTAATTATGTACATGTGCAGTAAGGTAATTATGAAGAGAAATGGCTAAGCCACCGTGACTATATAGCACATGGAAGGAGCTGGGCTATGAGGACAGATTAAAGAAATGGGGCTACCTGCTTGACCTGCTTGATGGGGTTCTGGGAGTTCTTCTACTTCCCAAGCCCGGCCCGAGGCCAGGCTTGACTTGTGAGAGTTTGGTCCACTAGGCTGTTGCTTGGAGCGGGCCGCAGGCCACCATATCCACCACAGCCCGGTTGGTCCGGCACTCCTTGAGTGCTCAGGCCTTGAGGGCTCAGCCACTTGGAGCATTTGGCATCGAACGCAGACCATGCAAGACCCCCATTATACAGACCAGTCCAAGTGGATGGACTATACAGTATGAGGTATACTATTCTCCAGGAGCTTGAAAAGTAGACCAACTCTCAGAACCCTCCCCAGGTACAATCCAGGTACTGTATTGCCCAAATGTGAGCATAATGGTGAGATATTTCCCTCGAGAAGTAATGGTTTGAATCCCAAGGAAAGGTTGAGCACCATTCCTTTCCCCCCGTCCCATCCCAAATCCTTATCCTGACCCCTTCCAAGTGCTATATAGTCGTAATGGCTTGGTACTTTCCCCAGATAGTATTTGACCCCCCCCCCCAGGGAGGTACTAGGGGGGGGTGTTCAGGAAAATTACCAGGAGCATGAATTTGAGGAGTGCCAAGGAGTGCCAATGAGTGCCATGGGTTACTGTGGCTCTTGCTTCATTGTTTATTCCTTAATATAATTTTACTTCTCAACTTCACACGAACATCGCCTTTACTTTGCTAAATATCCCATCATAAGTACTTATACCCAGAGCTCCCCTTTTAGATAATACTATTGACCCTTAAGTATAATTATCCATAATAAATCTTAAGAGATGGCCGCCCTTACTGTGAATATGAATAGCATTCTCGCTGCAAAAAGACACAATTGAATTATTCCGATTTGACAAAATTTGAATATTTTGTAAAAGAATTGTTAACATGTCGCTTTCATCAGTCATTCATGTCGTAGACACCTGTATCAACTCCCACACTCCCACGAGAGTAAACCCGTATGTACAAAATTAACACAGACAGCCCAGTGTTCCTCAAAGAATGTTTGCATAGACTTCTCTCTACACCCACCGCCCCCTCCCCCTAAACCCCTAAACACGGTCGACTTTCAAAACCCAACTACCAGTTTCGCCTCTTTAGGCACCTCTAGCACCCTCTAACACAGCCACATAACACAGTTGAAGGTAGCTAGAAATTCCAGGAACCTCGTTTCAACCAAGTTGAGCATTCATTCCCTTCAGCTCCCGCCAAACACACACCGAAACTACGACGTTGGTACAACGTTCGAACAAGTTTTAACACCTCCTAACCAGTTATAACAACCAATATAGCAAGTTGTAACAGCGTTCTAATACGTCATAAACACGTTAAGCCAAGATGTAACAACTTTATTACAAGTTGTAACAAGCGGAAAATAGAGACAGTTACGGTTTGTGTTTCCAGGACTAGTCCTCTTCCCGCGTTGTTGAAATAGGAAGTGGGAGCCGGGCCGGACCGTGGTGGGGCAGGTCCATCATTGCCACCTTGTATCATCTTAACCATTTATATGCTTAACGTGGTGGGAACCCGCGGCGGCGGCGGGTCTGGATTCCTCTCCTAACCTGCCAGGGTCCCACCCAATCTACAAATTGCATTGCCTTGCCGGTCACGGCCGCAAGTCCGAGTCTTAATCAAATCGGAGTTGGTGCCTGAGGAGTGCCGCTGAATAATGCATCCCTGCCAGGTGCCATTGAAATTCTCCAACCGCCTTCCCTTCGCTAATGATCTCACTGGCGGAGGATGGCTGGCAGCGCCCTCGCTCGTTCCCTCTAGTCCGCGCGACCCGAAGTCTTAGGCCTATCGCTGTGCTCTGTGCCCCCATGTCATAAAAAATTTCCAATGTGTCTAGGATTGTCTCTTCCCCCCCCCCTTGTCCAGTACCCACTACAGTTTCTATGGACATCCAGACGTTATATTCCCACTACTGTACCCAGGGACCTCAAACTTTGTGCCTACCAGCATGTCAAGTGATTGGGAGTGTTCTATGGCTGCTGCTGTGCCCACATGTCCTGTCCCTTTCGTTGTGCCTCGTGACGTCTTCCGTCCAGTGCCCAGGGACCACCAAAACACACACACACACACACACACACACACACACACACACACACACACACACACACACACACACACAAACCACCCAAATAAGCACCTGTGTTGTGCCGTAACTCT